ACTTATCTAAGGTCATTTATTTTTAGACTTACTCCAAAAACCAAAATCGATTTTGCGTAAAAAGTTCGGGTTTTCCTTAATTTTTGTTTGTTCTTCCAGCCGCTTTTAGAAACTACTGGGAATTTAAATTTTTAAATTTTGACCAAATTTTTCAGAATAACTAACATTTTAAAATTATTTTGTAGTTAAAATTTATAATATAGGTAATCAATTTGTATAGGTAGCTAATGTTTCACTATTTAATACAGGAATCCTCAAGTAGTTCGTACTGAAAACAAAAATATATCTATGAAATATACAAGAATAATTTTTTTTTTATAGTCGTTTGAAGTTAAATAATATTCATTAATAATTTTTACAAAAGTACAATACGTATAAATACGTAATATTATATTAAAATTGAACAACACAATAATGACAAATAATACACAGGTGTATAAATTAGTGTAGTGTCAGTAAATGGTGGCCATGACTAGCTTGTGTGAAGGTAGTGAACTCGTTTGATTGACGTATTAACCGGTCAATAGGGTTATTCTGACCACAGTTGGAGACACGAAAAGGGACAACAAATTGAGCCACTGAGCTTGTTAAGTGTTGGAGAACTAAGGAAATAAACATGGGATAAGAAAGTTGGTGCATCATAATTCAGATTAGGGTGATAAAATAAATTGGGGAGACCGAAGTCCTATACATTTTTAATGTGGGGTTTTGTGAGGGGGGCACTTCCCTCCAACCCGCTTACACTAATTTATGTTAATGGCTTTGATTTATAAAAAAACATGCCTACCTATATATATCTTATTTAATAATTTTAAATTGTTATAACAACTAATTAGCAACCTCTTGTATTCAATTTTCCAACTTCTTGACCAAGCAAAAATATAAACGTGTAAAGTAGAAAAAACTACGAAAATGTCAATATATATTTAAAATAGCCCTATAAGCGTAAATAAATTTAGTGACAATTTCAAATATCTATGGACCTAAGGTTACCTATTTGTTTTTGAGTTACCTACAACATCAAAAACTAGTACATATTGCGTAAAAATTCCCTTTTTTCCTTAATTTTTTTTTGATTTTTTCCGATTATTACTAAAAAAAGTACTGAGAATTTTCAATTTTTACATCTCAAATTAAACTCTTCTCTGAATCTAAAATTATACCTATAATTTATGATTTTCAAATGTGAAACACGATTATGATAAATAATTACAAAAGTATTAATATATTAGTAGGTAATAACTAATAGGTATTATTGTCATTTGCATTCCAAGTTCAGTATGATAAGCGCAATTACATTCACTATATTATATTTTTGACTTTCGTGTTGGTTAGGTAAATAAATCATGGAAAGGGACGTTTTATTACGAATGTAAGAAAATCTTCTCAGTTCTTTTATTGAAAAATGTCCTCGACATTTTTTTGAGTCATCGACATAACGAATACATCACAATAAAATTGATCATTCAGGAAATGTTAGTTTTCGTCTGCAAGTACCTATAGTGTATACAAATTGGTTTTTGATAGGTGGGTATTCCATCGAGTATTTTTAATTGAATATTTAAATGCCCAAACTAATTTACTATTTCATTCTGTATATTATGTGGGCTTATACGGGTACATACATTTACCACCCCTCGTCTCCAAATGTTCTTTTAATTCGTTGTAACCAATCGTCGGACAAAATATATTTATAGCCTTAAGGGAAAATGAGTTATTAGTAATTACTAATTGCCTACTTTACAAGAACCACTTGAAACTAATAATTCTTAAAACAATAATATTGAATTTCTACGATTTTCAACTTAGGCATAGGTAGATACAAAAAAAAATGCCTAAAATGTAGAGGGCGGCAGGCCGACAGCAACCCCATTAGCCCCCTATTAATACACCCCAGTAATAATAAATAGATGTGTGTATATAATTTATAATATATACGTACCTGATTAACCTATAACCTATCCTAATTTTATAAAATTATGAAACGTCACATGATGTACAGGGAGGAACCGCTTTAGCATTTCCTACTTCCCCTCGTGCAGCATTGTTGTAGGTTGTAGAATACTGAATACGCCTACACGTATAGCATAGGTACGTATACTATATGTATATTAATTATTCATGTTAAGGGGTAAGTTATTACTTTTTTTTTTTTGTGTGTACCAATGATGATGGGGGAACAATAGTTTCCTATTGCTTATGTCCCGATAGTTATTAGTTTATTACCTACTTATTGCTATTAGCATAAACACAACTCGCCCCTCTGCAAAGATAAATTAATTTTTGAACTCCTATATTATCAATTTCAAATAAATAAATAAAGATAATGCATAACAACTAGGCCTTTTTTAATCAAAATTAAAAGTATATTATGCAGGTACCTACCTAAAGGCTAAAGATGCCTTTTTAAGAACTCGGTAAATGATAAAACATCTGACTATAAATTTGTCAAGGAAAACTTGAAACAAGACTTGAAGACTTTGAAGTTTGATTGGTTAAAATAATTAATAAAAAAAAAAAATTAAAGTAGGGTAAAAATATTTATTTTGTTGTTTATAATTGTTTGCAATAAAAATAGGCAATGAATGGTTTGGTGGGGGCAAAGCTTCGACAAAATACATTTTAATATTTTAAGGGGGGTCACCAAACAAAAAAAAAATTGTTTGGGCTAGTTGTTGCTACTGCTTATTAGTTAGGTAAGTGTGGAACTTATCAATTAAAATATATGGTATACTACATTGATGTAAGCCGTCAAAATCCCACTTAGAAGTTATGGGGCCCAGGATTATTTTTTCACATGATAGATAGCCACACCCTCAGTGGCGTATTTTCAAATTTTCATTTATTTAATCATTTTATCATTTTATCGATTCATTTTTACTGATTAGGCAGGGTTCACACATCACTCACACACTAAATGTAGAGAACGGACAGTACATTTGGAAAACGTACCTATGTCGATTGTGTACCAAATCGTAGGCTAATAGCAATCGTAAAATTTAACAACGGTCGTTAGATAACAATTTAGAATTTTCCATCTTAAACAGTAAAATCATTTTGTACTTCATTAATAATTAATTAAAGCAAAATGTAAATATTAGTACCCCTAATTAGGTCGGGCCTAGCCCTGCCTAAATTGGGCTCTGTAAGTAGTAAAAATGATGAGTGGATGACTAAAGCCTCCCAATCAAGAATTTTGTTGAGTTTTAGTATAAATTTGTATTTTTGAGCTGTTAAACTATGGTATTAAAATTACTAGGTATCTCTCCCGAAATTTGATTAATTTCCGCTAAGACATTTTATTACGTTATTAATCTCACTAAATTATACGTATGGACTGTACAGTTAATATACTGTTCATACTTCATATAACTAGCTGCACCTATTTGTGTGCAGTGGCATTTACAGAATTTTTTCGGGGGTTGGGTTAAAAAAATTGTTGATAAATTTTATCTGAAAATGATTTATTATTGAAAATTGTTTTTTTATTTAACAATTTTCGGGGGAGAGGGGAGGGTTACAACCTCCAAACCCCTTGGATACGCCAATGGTTGTATCCATTAATTATTCACTTTAACAATTGAACAATTAATCAATTAATGATTGTATATGTATTAATGTATCATAGGTACCAACTGGCTACTTTTAAATGTGATTAATAGACAAGGTATACTAAGCATTTAGCATATTATAGTAATTACTAATTAAAGTGAAAAATCTAAATACTATTTTTTTATTAAAGAAGAAAGCCTCAATGACGTGACCATTGGCTTGTTCTACATATAGGTACTTAAATAATTTAAATTAAATTGTACAATCCGATATTTTTCATCTGAATACCATTATTGTAAATATGAATATTGGCATAAAAAAAAATCCAAGAAAATTAAACCCTTAACCAACTCCAAGGGTGGTTTCTAAAGTGGAGAATTAAAATAAACGAATCAAAATCATCTCACATAACTTTTGCTAACCCCCGTGACAGCCCCCCCAATCTACATCAATGACAGACAAATACCGACTGAACTAACGGTAAAATATCTAAGGATGCATCTGGATAGACGTCTCACATGGACAACTCACATCAAAACAAAAAGAAAACTATTAAATCACAGACTACATCAACTGCGTCCCCTATTAAAATCCAACTTACCAATTCAGAAAAAAATACTAATATATAAACTACTCCTCAATACTATAACTAATTATGGAATCCACTTTTGGGGAGCTACCAAAAATTCCAACTTAAAAAATCTACAAGCATTTCAATCAATATCCCTCAGAATAATAACCAATGCCCCCTGGTATGTAAGTAATTTAACTCTCCATAATGACCTTAACATATCACCCATCTCTGACCAAGCCTCAAAATTATATACACGTTTTCACAAAAAACTACATCATCACCCAAACCCCTTCATCGCCAATCTATCCACTATCGAGCTACCCGATACAACTCGTAGATTAAAAAGAAAATGGTCCAGAGAGCTCTTATCCTAAGGTCTAACATCGGTCTATAAACTTGAACTCTGATTATTACCTAGTTTTATTTTTCTTTTCTTTTAATGTATTATGTTTTCCGTTCTACCTAGTCTTAACTGAAGAGTAATATCAATGGGTATTTTCTCTTATCATGTGAACGCATGTCAAAAATTCTATTACTCAAATTTACTTATTGTATTATAAAAATAGATTGTAAATAAACATTTAAAAAAAAAAAAAAGTAAAGAAAATTAAACAAACTATAAGTAATGAATATTATACTTAACAAAAAATAATATTTATATAGATAATTCAGTTTTTAGAGTGAAGAAGAGACCTTGAGCTTTATTATACAATTAGAATTAAACTACAAGACTCAGATTAACAGATACAGATTTATTTACAAATGAGTAGGTATTATTATTTTTCTTGTAATATTTTTAATTAAAACAAACCGGGTTTGTAATTTAAAATGTTGTAAGAGGAGTGTACCCACACAGAAAAATAGTAAAACATACATAACAGAAGGTCGTCTAGTTATGTAGACGACAGACGTACCCACAGCAGTTTTTATTGGTTGTTATTTAGTGTTTATGTTATTTCATTAGTTATATTTATCAAAATGTTCCGTATAGTTTTATGTTTAAGTTCATTATTAATATTATTTCCTCAAATAATTAAAACCACTACAGTTTATAAATGTGGAACACGTAAGTTTTTTGTACATTATAAATTATAAATAGGCATTGTACTAATTATTTCATAACTAATACGGTCATACGGATGTATAGTTTTGAAATGTCTTTAGAATGTATTTGAATTATATTAAATAACGCGTCTACCAATAAAACGTCAACGCAATTTTGCAATATCTCTCATAATATTAAAAACATTTTTTTATATGGCGTATTTTCTTTTCAAATTTCTTAATTAACTTTATTTATTTTTAAAATAGTATTTACCAATAGCATAGTACATACCTAAACATCTGTTAGGTACAATTTATAATATCTACCCAATATACGGGGACGGACCTGAAATTTTGTTTTGCCTATTTTAACCTCTTCGCAGAGCTTGAATAATTGAGATATGAGGGCAGGTGTAACTCGCCTCTGAAATTTTAGATAATAAAAAGGTCAAATGTAAATTCAGCCCAATAATTTAATCTGAATATAATAAATAACGCATTTTAGTTCAAGTTTTAATCCAACTTATCTAAAATATATACATTTCGTCATAACCAAATTAAAGGAATACAGACGGAATTCCAATTAAATTACAGTTTCAAAATTCCAAAATTAAAAAAAAATTAGAATTATAACAAATCACTCTCAAAAAATCACAAAATTACTATGTCAAAGCATCAACTATACTTACTACTTAAACATATTAATTTTATATTTAAATTGAAATAAATGTAATAACTGTATGCTGTTATAACAATATTTATAATACTTTTTAATAATATGATAATGAAAATAAAACAAAATAATGTTTTGAGGATAAAGAGAATTGCCTTGTGGTGTTCTTCTGGATAATGATTAATGGTTCTCAAAAATATTATATAGCAATTGTATTATCAATTGGATATGATAGATATTTTTTATTCGGGCCAATTTAACAATCGCCCATACTTGAAGGCGGTGGTTTTTTTTTAGTACACCCTTACTCATTATTTCTTTGGAAATTAAGGGAGGTCCATTTTGCAAAGTGTTTTTAAGAAATATATTTAGCATTCATATGATATTATTTATTCATGCACATGAATTATCAATTCAGATAAAACTAATAATTTGTTGATTTTTCCCGTGATAAAAAATAAAAAATCCATTCTTGAAGATTAGAAGGTACTTCCTTGTTTTACTTCATGCTGCCACTGAACCAAACAATTGTATACAGTTGATGTATTAGGAAAACAATTTAGCTTTAGTGAAAATTAAGTTATTTGTACCTATATATAAACTTTAAACTATCTAAATTATAAACATATGCAATATTTGTAATTTTTTTATTTCATAAAAAATGTCTAGAAAAATAGTAATAGAAAATAGTAAATTTTGTTTTTTACATCTTAATATTGACCATAATGGTATATCTACACATTTAAAAAAATAATCTTCTAACTTCATATTCTATGTTATAAAAATATATATCTACGAATTAAAAACAATACAATTAAGTGTAATAGGTTTATAAATGGCACTAACAATATTTCTCTGAATCTCGATATCTTACATATACTTTAGTTTGGTAAGGTATCTGAATACCTGATCTATTTGAAATAGGGAAATACTTTTAATTAGTTTACAATTAAATTTAATGGGTTAGGTATATCCCCAAATAATTAATACAGGCAGCATTCAAATTTTTTGATTTATTTATCAATCTGACTATTTTCAAACTAAGTATTAATAATCTTATTGTATCTACAATCAAATATTCTATCTAATAGTTTTTTCTAAATTTATTCTTATTTACTACAGTAGATTTTAAAAAGCAAGTATGTCTAACTTATATTTAAAATAAATTATGATATATAAGTATGCATTTTTTCGTTATGCCAGTAGTCTGCATACTTATATAATATATATTTCAGGCAGGTCAGTTCAAGATATTTTAAAATAGTAGCTTCTAAACTACGATTCCTTAAATAACAACCCTTGAACTATATAAATCTATATTCAAATAGTTGGTACATATTAATATTATCTATTTGTTACTTTAGGGAATCAAGAAATTTTAAATAATGTAACAGTAACAATTGAAAATTGTACTACCACATCAAGATGCTCATTAAGACGAAATAGTACCATGCATATACAAATTAAATTTAAACCAGGTTTGTATGGATAAATAATAACATTTATTAAGCAGTTTACTGATACAAAAATCATTTATTTATTTAATAGTTTTTAAAATAAAACATATACTTTCACTTTCTGTGAGTGGTCCAATAGGTAAATTCTGTGTGCAGTTATACTTTTTAGTTTCATTTGGTATAATCTGAATTAAATTGAATTAAAATATGAAGTCATAAAATGTGAATATAATAAATTATAATATACAAAATTTCAGATAATGGCATATTCCAAGTTTTGAGCGATTTAAAAATGTAGGTAATTACAGTATCAACGGTGAAATACTATATCAGACTATGAGGCCTATTGGGGACCTTGGTATTCTTTTTGATCCTAAATTGAAATAATGAAGTTCAAATTCAAATAGTCTTAGGTTTCATCCATTATAATATTGTACCAACTACCAACTGTAATAATAAACATGCTTTAAAATTCATATATTGCTCTTTAATAAGTTCTATTTGTACAACGGCTCAATAATATGGTCGCAAGACTAATCAAATCTTAAATATAAATTAGGAAAATTCAGCAAACATTATTAAACTTCTCCAATTTAAACTTTCCATACCCATAACTACATTCTTAGTACTCTCTACATTTATGTATTCAACATTTCTAAACCTCAAAACATTGGAACAACACCATTAGCGATTAGATTTATACATTCTATAAATACTTTTTGTCGGAAATATTGACTGTCTTGAATTCTTAAATTGTTTTTCCTCCCATACTTCTATTCACTGTACTAGATCTAATAATTTGTGTTATCTAAACAAAAAAGTGACTAATTATGCAGGTAATATACTCTATAATAGAATGATGAAAACTAAATCAATTCGGTCATCTCACCAAATACTGACTCGTTTGAAACGTATTGTTACTATCTAATTTATCTAATTGAGTCTAGCCCATTAAAAACTTAAGCAAATAAATAAGTTCAATAAGTTCGACTTATTTTATACTGGATCATCATCTGTTTGTATATCTTATTCAAAGTAATTTGAACCAATTGATGCTAACAGTACTTATTATAGGATTGAAAATGTCTCTTAAGTATTATGGTCATAACTTAAAATATTTTAACTAAATAGTAAATATTTTGATTACTAAGTACACATAGAAATGCTTAAAAATATTTCATTACAATATACCTATATATATTTTATTTTTTAGAATTTGATGTAAAGGATTTAATCACAGAAGTGTATGGTATAGCACTAAATATACCAATACCCTTATTAGGAGTAGATAATAAAAGTGTATGCAATAATCTCTTTGAAGAAAATGGAACAAAAAAAAAGTGTCCTGTACTAAAGGGTAGGACATATGTTTATAAAGATGAGATATACATTATTGAAGCATATCCCAAGGTAAACTATACATTTAAAAGTCTACATAATAATTTAAACATTTAATCGTTTTTATTACTTTTAGTTTAAGGTAGATATACATTGGAGTTTGAAGGATCCCATTTCAAGAAATATTGTTACTTGTTTTGAAGCACCAGCAAAAATTATTGATTAATATTTAATTGTATTTTTTTTTTGTATTTTAATTAAAAATAAATAAACAAATATAGTTTGATCTTCTACTGAACACTTGCATGTATACAATAATATAATATATAAATAATACTAATTATAAATATTAAAAAAAACACACTTAAATAATTTTAGAAAAAAATATTGCAATTGTTACAAATAACGTAACATATAACATTTAAAATATGTTTAAATAACAGTAATAATTTTACATTTCAAAAGCTCTTATGTTTAATGTTATAAATTTTATTTTTATTAACCAAAAGAAAAAAATACAAAAATACTTATGTATTTTAAAATAAAAATTACAAAGTTATAAGTTCTCTCATATCATTATATAAGTTATTTTTAGTCATAACTTTAAATATGTTTAATAAACGATAATTATATATATTTTTAAATATATTTCATTACAATATTTAGCTTGTATTATGTTTCTTATTCCTTTAAATGGTAAAGTATTTGGTTTTATCTTAAAATAATATCCAGGGCTAACATACTACTTATATTTTTAATGAGTACTATATTTAATAAATAATGTAGACATATTATATAGATCTAATTATTTAAAAATGCTATTGATAATAAAAAAAAATATTATTACGGTTTATATTAGGTAGTTATAAGTATAAATCAATTATTTAAAAAATATTAGAATTAGACTTTAAGATCTAAAAGATAGATGAATAATTAATAATACATTAGAAAAATACTTTTAGTATTTGAGATTCAATTTTATGAGATTTTCAAAGCGTAATAAATGTATAATGCATTATAATATTGTTTTCCTTACAATCAAAGGTAATCAATTTATATATAAGTATATTAAAGTGTAATACAAACATAAGAAAGATAGTCCATTAATAAAACTGATATTATACTTTTTAAAAGCTTTAAATTTTAACTGTTCCATAATTTAAGAACAATGAATGATGAGTTCAATAAAAAAAAATAATAAATAACTTTTATTATATTTTGATCTTTAATTAAATATAATACTTTCGTTACTAATAGTTACTCTAAATAAATAGTTGTATTTATGTGATCGGTAAATATTATGTACAGTGTACAGTGATGTTTCCCCGACTAAGTTAGCTATATTATAGTATAATATTGAGTACTTACATCATGGCCCACCATGTATAATAGAAACAATAAGAAAAGGGTAAGCCAATGTCATTCAAATTTTGTCATAAAAATTTCAATAACCCAGTATATATTTATAAAAGAAAAGATTTGAGATTAAAGCCTTATGTTTTGGTTTCAAAATATTAACTTATTGGTATTATTAGCTTGAAAGAATATTACTATAGTTACAGTGCATGCTATACTTAAGAATTGAAATTTAAATAAGATCAATAAATGTATAAGTTCAAGACAATGTTTACATTTAAAAAAACGTACTTCTAATAAATTATCATGAAATGAAATTAACTACCTTTTAATATTAATTAACTTCAATTATCGCGATTAACTTAGTAATATGTTTCCTTCTCCAACCATCCACCTGGATTTCGTCTTATGTAAAATTTTCTTACTTCGTCATAAATAAATAAAGCTAGCATGAACGGTATTGGAGGAATCCACCAAGTCCATCTAAAATAGTATTAGTATACATTTATAATTTTAAATATTTAAGAAAAATTGTAAATATCTTACTTCAATGGATACATGCGTAAAGCTTCATCCATTCCAGGTAAATAACACAAGAACAATGCTAAGACAGTCTCAAAAATTAAACTGAAGTTCAGAGCCATATTTCTAAAAATAAAAAATGTATTAGTTAAATTTTGAAACTTAATTTGCATTATCTATTTCCTAACCTCATTCCTTGATGAGCGATTGAGTTTCTCCTTGTCTTACATATAATAAGATTTGCCCATTGTACTACTACAATAGCTATGAAAAAGCCTGTATGACATGTATACTCTAAGGATTTGCGGTCTTGATATGTCTATAAATGAAATTTATTTAATGATTTTTAACATGTTGAGTGTCGACTCATACATTTAAGTTTAATTTACCCATTCTTGATTATAAGAATCTGGCAGATCATTAACTGCTCTAGAATCCCATTCACGGCGTATTCCAATTAATTTGTATGGCATAAATCCATTTTCAGCCATGATTACAAAATAAGTAAAAAAACCAGCAAATGCCTCGATAACACCCAATTGACCAAATGCCAAAGATATTAATCTTAAAAAAAATAAGAAAAAAACATAGTTATTATTTACACTAGGTTTCAAATTATTTTGCTTTTATTACTATATGCTAAAAACTACTTGCCAAGCAATTCACTAATGAAGAGATTCAAAGGAAACAAATAGTATATAGAGTTTACCTGACATTAAATAGAGGGTTTTTAATGGATGGTTTCTTTTTCATCAGGTTTGATTCGCCCGGTTCAAATGCCAGTGATATGCCGGGCATCTAGCAGTCCCAAAATAACAAACAAATCATCCACAAACAATTTTTTTTTTTTTTTGTTATTGTGTTAAATGGAAAACTTAAAAATTAAATAGATAAGTCAAGAATACAGATTAGCATGGTCAAGATTTTTCAAAAAAAATGTATGCCGAAATACATGTGTTAATTATTAATCAGATTATCAAAGCATGTAACTAAGACAAAAAGCAAAAGCAATAAAACAATAAATACTGCATAATAATATAGTCACCTGTTATTCACAAGTTTATCTCTAATTAGATTTCTAGGAGGGCGCTTCATTATATCTGATTCTGGATGCTCATAACCCAATGAAATGGCTGGAACCTAAATACAATAAGCCCATTCTAATGGAGTACAAAAACTACTTCTAATTTCTATATTTTCTATAGATATTCACTAAATACACTGACAAATATTTATTTTAAGCTTTAGCTAATAGTGTATCAAGCATTTTAGCCAAATTAAAAAAATACGATTATTTAGTAATTCACCAACTACTGAAATCTAGTTTCTAACAATATAATACATTAGTGATTAGTACATCAATTAATATTATGGGGCAGGCCGATACTAGAAATGAAACTCGATATCAGTCGTATTGGATTTTTTTTAAACTGGTATTTGAGTTAATACCAAAAAATAAATCAATCAGCATAGTATATAGACATCACAAATTCAGATTTATTGATGAGGCAGTACTATTTAATGGCAACCACGATAAACAGATAGCATCTAACAGGAGGTTATCTTTTAATATCCATTTAAAAATGTTGTTTTTAAAATATATTGGTTATCAGTAGCACTCATCGATAAAAAGTGGTATCGGCCTATCCCTAATTAATATTAGTGGCAGATATAAGCCACTCAGAAAAGGCTAACAGTCAAAACCTGTTTATTTTTTTTATAGTAATTTCAAATAATTAGATACATTATTAATATTTTTAATTGAGAATATACGAGTCTCCAAAATAATTCTTTGAAATGGTATTCTTTTTTTTTTAAATAAAGCACATCTAACAAAGCTACTAAATTTAACTGGTACCATGTCAAATATTTAAAAGTAGAGTCTCATTGTCATAGATCATTATCAAAAACTAAACATATTTTTAAAAACTGTCTGTGGTAGTCAATAGTATGGTTAATGACATAGTTATCAATTAAATTATTTAGTGAAAAATAATTTATCTCCTCGAATTTCAGAAATTTGCTTCTTTACATATCATGCCTATTTTTTTTGTAATTGTATTAAATAAGATATAGGTATTGTGTTTATGGAAAGTCTCGAAATAACTAAAGACCCAAACATTATTTTGATCAATTATTGATGTGGCGTCATTAGCTAATTTTATTTTTATTATTTGTAATAATTGTTTGAATCTAAATTAGGAATTTAATAATGTATTAAAAAACAAGATTAATGTTGATTTCAAATGTAAATATTCATTTAATCTATTTTATAATGTTTTTCATGTATGGATGAAGAGATAGTCAACATTATAGTCATATTAATTACTAAAATAAAAAAATATAGAGAATTTAAAAATTTGAAATGCAGTTTTAGACTTACATAATACATCTTCATCGGTCTCTAAATATTACCTATATCGTTCCATATAATAGTATTACCTATACTCAATATAGGTAAAAAAATGATCATATTATCATTATACTCAATGTCGATAGTAGTTGATCCGTCTATACGTATGAAGTTAACCCATGATAATACCACATTTTGAATAACATTTATAATACCTACATGATTTTAAAAGAAATAATTTTAATAAGACTTAATTTGATGGTACCCAACTTTCAAACACATGATCCAGATTTAATTACAACCTAGCATTTTTTTTTTAGAATCTTAGATCCACCACTGATTAATACTGTTCAAAATGTTGAATTTTCTATAATTGCACACTACCATGAACACATACTCATATATCACATCAAAAATTACATTTACAACTAATAATTATAAGACAATTAATGTCATATTAAAAAATCAAAGTTAACAAATCTAAGTTAAATTTATTAATATTTTTAGCTAATAATTATTGAATATTTCTTTAGTGAAAATATCATATTTATTTGTTAACCTAATGGGGATAGTAGATTAAAAAGGAAATTATAAAACTGATTAGATATAAATTATGTCAGTTTCTAGAATAATAAAAAAAAGTCAATGGTTTACCTCATATGTTTAGCCTAATTATAAACAAAACTGTAGTGAACAAACATCAAACCAAATAATTAACAACATTCTGCCAAAGAAAATATCTGTCAACGTAACAATATTAAAAACAATATTTATTTATGCTTACCATATCTGTACCAAGATCAATGCATAATATAGCAATTGCACCAATAGGCAATGGTATGCTCAGCATGATAAAAGCAATGAACGGCAGTAATTGAGGAACATTAGATGAAAGAGTATAAGTAATAGACTTCTTTAAATTATCAAATACTAAACGTCCTTCTTCTATGCCGGTAACAATACTAGCAAAATTATCATCTAAAAGAATCATGTCAGCTGCTTCTTTTGAAACATCTGATCCGGAAATTCCCATTGCAACACCTGATTAATATATACAACATAATCAATCTAAAATGTTTTGATAATAATAATAGGTATCTTATTATTTTAAAATCTGTATAATAACCAATATCTGCTTTTTTGAGTGCAGGTGAATCATTAACACCATCTCCAGTTACAGCAACTACTCCTCCAATTCTTTGACAACCTTCAACAATAATTAATTTTTGTTGAGGCGAAGTTCTTGCAAATACTATTTCTTTATGGTATCTGAAATATTACATAGTATTATTAAATACATTGCCATTATTCTAATAATATTATAACTGTTGTTTACCTTAGTATTTCATCTAACACCTCTGGAGGCAAATCCAATAATTCAGAACCATGTACTACAGCTGCATTAGCATCTCTTGGATTTACTTCAGATATAGGAATATTTAATCTCTGAGAGATGTCTTCAACTGTTTCATTTCCTTCAGATATAATTCCAACAGATTTTGCGATTGCCTTAGCAGTAATAGGATGATCTCCAGTAACCATAATAACTTTAATGCCAGCTGAACGGCATTTAGCCACAGCATCTGGAACCGCTGCTCTTGGTGGATCTATCATAGACATCAAACCAACAAATCGCATACCGCTTAATGGGAAATTAGGTTCATCGACATCAAACTGGAAATTTTTAGGGAAACGGTCTGGCGGTAATAACATATCACAAAAACCTAGGACGCGCTCGCCGAGACCACCTAATTCTAAGTATGCATTATTGAATGCTTCACGCATTTCTTCATCAAGAACTTTTTCTTTTCCTCCAATAAATATGGTAGAACAACGATCAAGGACACGTTCAGGAGCTCCTTTCATAACTAATAAATATCGAGAATATCGAGAATCTGAAGGATCTTCAGTTTCATGAATTGAAACCTAATGATACAAAATTATCTTAAGTAATTTTTTATAAATTTAAAGTGTAGTTTAAAATGAATGATGATTATCAATTACCTGATATTTATTTGTTGAATTAAAAGGTATCTCGCAAACTTTACGGTTACGCCTTCTGATAGACATAACATCACCAAGAGCAAGTGTCATACACTTTAATAAAGCTGATTCTGAAGCATCTCCATTTACTTCCCTAAAAAAACATTTGCATAAGTTCTTTTTTAAATTTAATCATTTAATGTTGAATCAACAAACTTTTTTAGAGTAGGTACGCCATCTTGACCCGCTTTAAATTCAGCTCGATTACAAAGTGTTGCAATTCTAGCCAAAGCTCTAAATCCAGGACTGGATCTATCATATTGCACCCCAGACTGATCTTCAGTAGTGTCTGCTTCAATAATTTGATTATCAAACCACATGTGAGCAACAGTCATACGATTTTGAGTTAAAGTTCCAGTCTTATCAGAACAAATTGTTGAAGTCGAGCCTAGTGTTTCTACGGCTTCCAAATTCTTTACGAGACAGTTTTTAGATGCCATTCGCTTGGCAGTTAAAGTTAAACAAACAGTTACAGTGGCTAACAAACCTTCTGGAACAGCTGCAACCAAAAAACCTAAGACACAAAATATTATTAGCTTATAATTTAATAATTATAAAAATATAATAACATTAAAGAATGACTAACCTATCATGAAAATAATGGCATCCAACCAATAACAACCCATCATCAATGCAATAATGAATAGTAATATCCCAATAATAATAGCAGTAATATTAACAAAATTCACAAAACGAATTATTTCCCTTGCAATTGGTGTTGGTCGACTATCTAAACTTGAAGCTAATCCAGCAATTCTTCCCATAACAGTATTATCTCCACAAGCAATAACTACACCCTTAGCAGTTCCTAAATTAAAATAATTTATATTTCAGTTAAGATATAATAATTATTTATGTCATTAAAATATTTAATTGAACCTTCAACAGCATGAGTGGAAGAAAATGCAAAATTTTTAGTTTCCAAAGGATCATCATGAGTAAATTCTGGAGTGCGACTCTGTGGTTCAGATTCACCAGTCAATGATGAATTATCTACTTTGAATGAATGACTTTCAATTATTCTCAAATCAGCTGGAATACGGTCTCCAAACTTAAGCTCAACAATGTCACCAAGAGTAAGATCTTCAGCTCGTAATGTCAAAGATTCACCTTGGCGTATAACTACGGCAAACTATTTAAATAAATTAGTTTAAAAATATAATAACTTAACAATAAAATTAATGATCCAACACCTTAAAGATAATATTTTATTAGAATATATTACATAGGATATAACTCAAAATATATTGATTTGTAGTAATCAGTAAATAAATTAAATGTTTTAATGAATATATATATTAATAAAAAAAAAAATTACAAGTTAAAATATATTTAAAGTGAATGCTGATTTATTTTTTCAAATTATTCAGAATATTAATTATAATATTTTAAAATCTAATACCTACAAGTTTTTTTCAAAAGCAAAATATTTTGAGAACCCCTTTTTAATATTATAAGTAGTAAAGCAGCAACAAGAATCAACAACCAAGTGTAATAATATTCCAAAAGAAGAAGATTATATTTTAAAAACACCACAACTATATGAAACAATTAAAATAAGCTATTGTGTATGGAACAAACTAAAAGAATAGTTTTAAAAATTTAAATACACAACTATATAAGCAAAATTGCAATAATAAAATTAGCTAACTAAATAGCACTTTGATAAATATTAATTTAAAGTTGAGTTAATTAGATATACATAATGTATTATGATTTACCATTGGAAAACGTGTTTTAATACATGACTAATTATAAGTTTTAACTACAACGAAAAAGTTTAAATAGATTGTTTTTCAAAATATTATTTTATAAGTTTTTTATACTATAAAATTGTATTTATAGTAAATATATTTACCATAGTTAGAAGAAAAAATTCATAAAAACCATTAATTATTAAAACTATCATACAATATGTATGTGTAGTACTTTTTACATAATATATATTTATAACTAAATATATGTTGTCAATTATTATGTATAGACGACTCTATACCAAAATTTGTTGCTTCCATCTACAAAAGCATAAAATTGAAAATAAAGTATAACAGAGTATAACATAACTCAATTAGTTAGTTTAATATTAGAAATTATATTAATTTATCTATTAAAAAATTTGAAAAAGAATTATGAACATTTTTAAACTGTATCCTTATAATTTTATGATACATAATTATGTATGATTCGACTTCCATACTCATATGCAAAATATTAAGTTAATTGTTTATAATCTATTCGTACGTGAGGATCAATTTGAAAAAATATGCCAATATATTTTGCAAATTAGTCATTAAAATATTATAAGCTAAAACCATTATGTGGGGACAACTTCACTTAGCCCTACTCTGTCTTATTGATTAAAAAAAATATGGTAGTATTTTAAAAATGAATAGCAAGTAATAGCAAATCAGTATAATACATTTTTAAAAATGATAACACTAGAAATAATTTTCTATTTCTGGACAATATTGGGGCATACCATCATACCCTAACCATAATTTTCATCACTTTATTATATTTGTTATTACTGTTTAGTTTTAATTTTCAATTTCTAGCATATTCTACATAGTCTTAAGTTTTTAATCATATATTCAACCTAGACTTAAATCAATGCCTATTATGATATTAATAACAACCAACATTCAATTGTTTGCAATTAATTTTCAAAATATAGTCAAATTTTCTGAATTGATGACAAAGTTGGAGGGGAGGGGGTAAAGTTCACACAGATATAATTTAGTCTACACAATTTAATTTTTATTTTTAGAATTGGAATAAATTAACATCATAATAAAGTTACATTTTTAAATGTATAAACATTATAATTCAAGATATATCTCACGTAAAAATATTAAAAATAGCAACAAAAAATGTATGTTCATAACGTTTTGCGTGTGTATAAGACTGACAACAAATCTTGGTATTAAGTTTGGTATCCTTAATAAAGCAACTTAAACAAAAGATGACAGACCTGTGGATTTGTTTCATAGAATGATCGGATGATTTCACCTTGATTATACTGCCGACAGTAAGACAAAAAGCCAGTGACTACAATAACAGCTATTAAACTTGAACCTAAGTAAATCTGCGATAAAATAAAAGTTATAAGCAAGCATAAGTAACTACCTCTCACCTGAACACAAACCCACAATCATGCTGCTACAAAAACAGTAAATCATAATAAAAAAAAGCTGAACCACACCAATACAATAATTTCAGCTAAATCTCTGCCTTACCTGAGGAACTAAATTCCTGAATGAATCCACAATTGCAGAAGATTTAGCTTGTTGATAATAGGAGAAGATTCCTGTGATGATGACAACAGCAACTAATACTACTCCCAAGTAAAACTGGATTGTAGAATATAGGGTTAACATATTAGTTAAATAACATTGAATAAATATTTAAAACCAACATTAATTATTTTAGGAATTTTCATGGTTGCAGGTATTTATAAACAGGTTTGTAAAAAGTAAAATCTCAATTGAAAAAAATACAAAACTTACATAATCATCATTTGGGTCTTCTGTAGTACTAGTTTCGGCAGTATGAGCTAGGAAACACAGAAGTGCTCCACACCATAATAATACTGAAAACCCACCAAAAATCTGTTTTGCAAATTTTATCCATTCAGGTGTTGTAATTGGTGGTGTCAGAGTATTAGGTCCATCTCTTTCTAAATTTTCTCGAGCTTTTGCATGAGTTAAACCCTAAAATAAAAATTGAATTTAAAATATAAATACAAGCTGATTATTTTAGAGCTTCGTTATCATATACAAGTATTGTAATTTAAAATTGTATGTTAATCTGAGGTATTCTATACCAGATGCGCCTATGCACAAACGTGCGAACACGTAATAGTGAAATAGAGTAAATACTGCGCATGCGCAATACGCCGATCTAAGTGGGCGAAATCTACCATCCCATCTACCAAACCTTGGCAAGCGGGCACATTATATACGTGTGAGCACACCAGTTATTTTCTCTTTAGCCCACTCATTATAGACAAAACAGATTCATACTTAATTAGTTTTTTTATGTTCTTAAGTAATCTTGAAGTAAAATCATCAATCAAAAAATGTATAGAAAATAATGTAGTTGAGGGTATGACAAATAAGATTTTTTTAAATGTGGTCGAAAAATGTAATATTCTTTAAAAATTAACAAAATGTATGAAATCAATAAGTTAAACTCCTCAAAAATATTATCTTCTACAGTTTTTGAACCTAATAAATAATTTTACCTCAGGAGTACCAATAAATCATAAAAAATGGTTTTACTTGTATGTGTTTTTATCTATGTTGTGCATGGGTCAGAGATAGAAAACAAATACTGTGCTGATATCCTTTTAACGAGTTTGATTGTATACAAAATTAATTAATGTATATTTACAGTTCCAGGATGTGTTCCAAATCGTTGGTACAATTCATCTAATGGTACTTTATGATAATCCAAAAATGGATCTTGTTTCAATTCATCTAAGTTTTCAGCATGACTATACTTGGTACTAATCGACGATGGCGCTTTTCTTCTTGTCTAAAATAAAAATACAATTTTTTAAAAATATAACTGAATTTAAATAAAAATTTAAAAGATAAATGTCTTTTATACTTTTGGTTTTCCATCTACTGTTTTATTATCATCAAACTGAGATGGAACTGTAGCAACACGATATGAGTCTGTTCTTCCATGCTAAAGTAAAAAAATTTTAATTTTAATAAAAATTGAAATTTATCTTGTTATAAATGAATTTCAAAAGCAAATGTATAGCAGATATGTAATTTAAATTATAAAAGTACATCAAATACTTGAGTATTTTTCAAATTAATATAAATTGACAAAAATATCTAAGCTCTAGAAACCTTGGACAATTTTTTAAAATACGACTTATCAGCATCGATTTTAGCATATATAAAAATATAAATATTAACCTAAAACATTATACTATAATTGTATTTCATATGTATCTATTATCTATTAGACATAAGAAACGACCATGGCCGCAACCATTTTTAGTTATGTAGCAACAAACACCCATTTCTTATCCCTATGACAGGTCTCTGAGTCTATTTGATACATTGCAATGATCATGTGATTATCTGATGTGGTTAAAATGTGTATTTGATAGAATTATTGGTAACAGTTAAAAATTGTATCTTTTTGATTCCTTCTTGTTCTGTTGTTGCAATGGAAGTTTAAACATGACTAGTTTAATCGCAAATACTTATATTATTTACTCTATGATTACATTGTCAATAATATCTACGCCAGCACACACTTAAAATACTACAGAATAAGGATTGTATTTAAAGAACATTTTATGATATATAACATCTAAGCAGTGGCGTAGCCAGGGGAGAGGCTGAGGGGCTGCAGCCCCCCCCCCCGAAATGTTAAATTTAAAAATTATTTGAATGGTCTATGGTATTCGATCAAAAACTAAACCACCGCTGTGTAAAAAATTGATCAGCTCCCCCTCCCCCCCGAAAAAAAATCCTGGCTACGCCACTGCATCTAAGTATAAGTATCATGTTCATAAATACTCTCAAACAATATATTAATTTATTCTATGTTTACTTTTAAATGTGAATTAAGTGCGAACAAGGAATATATTTTTATTTGAAAAGTTGCCAAATAACATTTAATAGTCAGTTAAGTATCTATTTTGAATACGTAGGTGACACAAATAACATTGTGTACTGTATATACATTTATCCATTAAGTTAAATGGGTGGTGTTCCAAACGTTAAAACATATATACAGCTATAAAAAGAAAACAAACTGCAATTAAAATAATTCAACACATAAATTAAATTTATAACTAGTAAATAATTTATCAAAATTGTGTTTATTAAGTAAAACGATACTAAAAAAGTATTCAAATATACAATATAATATTTTATTTAATCACTGTTATAGACGTTATAGTGTTATAATAATTTCATACACAAGACAAAAAACAATAATTAAAGGAAACCAGAAAAAAGTAATATTAAAATATGCTTCAAGTAATATACATTTCCTAGTAAAATAATTTTACCCTTGTTTTCTGTGTATCCTTAGAAAAACAAATTGAGCTACATAAACACATTGGCAATTGTCCACAAGCTACATTTTGTTCAATAACAATAAGAATAAAAGAAATGAGGGAATGATTGGTATAAAATACTTGATTGTTTCGATTATTTAAAAAATTATTAAGTGATCCTCTGGATAACAAAATTAATTGAAATAATCGAGTGAAAAATAGGTTGGTAACTACTAAACATATTAAAAAAGTAAACTAAATACCAATATTATACTATTTTTTCATTATTTTAAAACCAGTTGTTGTAAGTATGTTATATTACTTTTAAAAATGTTTATTAATACTAATCCATTTATAAGCTAAATATCTACCACATACTGAATAATGTGAACTATACAAAAATTATTCATTTTAATTAAATTGATGGAGAGGTTTTTTTTCTATCCTATAACCTCTTGATTATCAAAATCTCTTGGTTGTTAAAATCACTAAAAAAAAACTATCTAAAAGGTCTAAATCAGAGGTTCTTAAACTATGGTGTGCGTGCCACTAGTGGTACGCGGAAGACTACAAGACGGTACTCAAAAGGCCACTAAGCGATAGAACGGTGAGTAAATAAATGAATATTTTTAATTGGGTTTGAACATGGAAATAGACATAAGTGGTACGCGACTAATAATACACATGAGTGATATGCTAAAAAAAAAGTTTAACAGCTGGTCTAGATCATATTGATTATAGGATTATTGTTTATGGTCTGCATAGGTGGGATTACCTGTCATAAAACTTACTTTAGTCTACATACATTATACTTAAATGTTATATGTTATTATTTATTGAAACAAAATAAAATAATTACAAATAGTGTAAATGAAATAGTATTGCATATTTCAATAATTGTATAAGTAATTTCTTAAAAATGTGATATTTAAGTTATTTTTTCCTTGGTCTTTTTATCATTTTGATATGATTGTCTAGATTCACTACAGATTTCAGTAATATATAAATTTATAATATTTATCAGCACACACTATATTTTATATAAGTAAAGTAATTATAAATTAAATTATAATTATGCATTTTGGTATCATGTAAATTTTGAAATATTTTTCATACTATATTATCTGCTGACAACAGCAAACTACAAATCTTATTAATTTAAGAAAATCTATGAAAAAAATTTTAAAGTCTCATTCTAGATTTGGAAATCTGAGCTGAAATATGCGAGTTAAGATGTTGATAGGGTGGTATACCAAATAAGACTAGGCAGTTAAATATTATGAGTCTTGACCACAGATTTGTTGGATAAGGGAGGCTTAACTAGGATCCCTTATGGGTTCCCTTTATTGTTCTATGCATAGTACCAACAATGGTAGAAACCAGCCAATCAACCATATGACGCGTCTAGGTAACGAGGGTCCGAGGTTACGTCTTGCACAGTACATAATATATACACAGAACACTGAAAGCATTTTGAAATTTTCCTGAAATTTCTGGAAGGGCAGCAGCCCTCGTAGCACACATGCATGTATAATAATATGATATTTATTAAACATAATATATAATTAGTTTTTAGTATACTCAAACCATAATGCCAAATTGTTATGGATCATAGCCAAGAGATCATTATTATTAATCGGCTTGATTGAGAACACAATATAAGGACAAATAATCTAGCATAAATAAAATGTTTTCAACAAAAACATTTTACATAAATCAAGTTACATAAATTGAAATATTTATAAAAACTAGGTTTATATTTGAGCATTAGTTATTTAATAATTGGATATGTTACGAGTTAATGTAGACATGAAGTGTTTAATAAAGAAAGACTACTCTTTATATAAAACTTTGAAAATGTTTGCAATTTATTTTAAAGTCGCGAGGACAATCACCCGTGTCCCCATCAATTAAACATAATTAACCCGGGTATACCATTACATATTTTTACCTTTATATCAAAAACACTATAGTAACTAATAACAACGAAGACCTATATTATTAACAAAGTTAATCAAATGCAATAACAACTATTAAATGTAGTAACTGATTTATCATCAATTGAACATCATTTATTCAATTGAAACTAATTCTTGAATATATATGACTATACTCATATCTTATTCATGCTACAATTTATTAAGATGAAACTTCACAGTATATCACTCTATAACACGATACCTAAACTAAATAAGCAACTACAAAAACAAAATAATTAACTACCTATACCTAAGTAATACTAGCTTTTACTTTTTCAGAATGAGTATACCAATTATTTTAGTTTTGACTGTGGACTATAATGATTAGCTACTATTGTAAATAACTAGTTAATACATTTCATAAATTGAATAGAATATGTCAGTACCTAAATCCCTTCCCTAATAACAAGAAAGTAAATAAAGTGAAACTTCCATATTATGAAGTCTCATGAACAACAAAACAAATTTGTATTACCCACTGAGAACTTTGTTAAATATAATTACCTAAATAAATACAATTCTAATTTGGTTAGTTCCTAAAAAATTGTTGTTAAGCAGAAAATTATTGTTAAATGGAAGTTATACTGTATTTTTATTTAAAAAATTACCTTAACAACACAAAATTTCTATTGGTACATTACCTACACATCAATATACATTTTATTTTAATTTATTAGGTACTTAATTTAAAATTGTCTAACATAATATTTTTATAACGGCCCCTTTTTTTCAAACAAAAACAATATAAATAAAACCAGTGTATCAAAAAATAAATGGGTACACCTTTATGTGTTAAATATTGCTAGTAGGTATAATTTTTTTTTCTTTCTGTTTTACCAAAAATAAAATCTGACAAAAGAACTCACTGTGTGTAATTATTAGAAACAAAAATAGTTAAAAATATAGTTACCTACCTATATTAATATACTAATTTGATGAACCTATAATTAAAGGTGTTTTATCCATATAAATGACCAGACCAATTTAATATTCTTTCTATTGAAAATATATAAATTAAGTGTTCATAAAATGAAACCATTGAAGGATTGGCTTAAATAATTTGAAGCCACATAATTTTACAAATAATCAATAATATAAAATGGCTATGCTTTGCCCAATTGAGAACAATAATTTATAAATAAATTCAAAATGTAGGTGATACATAATTTGAGTTTAAGAAAATAAATATATTGGTAATTTTGATAATGCCGATCAACCTACCCACCTGTCCCACCCAAAAATTCCTTTATGCGTCGATTTACATTAATGTAAGAGTATTATGACTACTCACCAGATCATAATCCTTTGATGCTAATGAAGCCATTTCAAAAAAAATATTAACTACAAAAACTCATTCATAACTTTTCTATCACAAATGTTTAAGGAAACAGTTATTCATTGCCAGACGTAAAAATTCAAAACAATCGTAATATCAATAAACGTAAGAAAATCCAAAACGAAATTCCTAAGCACAAATCGCGGATAACAGTATAATACCAACCAATACCTATTAAGTATTTACCATTACTATTAACTAATAAGTAATAACTTTAAAACGAAACAATGTAAACAACTCTGAATTACACCCTTTTTTATAACCACTACTGCCACTGGCGGATTTTAAGCTGATAATATTATTATGTTGATGGATAGATAGCAGTGTGCAAGGAGAAAAAAATCAATATTTACGTGATGACGGTCGTAACGTCTTGCCTTCGAATTACCTATATTTTGATATTTTGAGTTTTAATAAAAAAATAATAAAAATTGTTTGGATTTTAAATTCGAATACATTTTTAATACAGAAGTTAATTAAGGAATTACAGTATTACAGTAACCGGCGGTAATTGGCAAAACAATAAACATGCACAGTATTTGAGGTTAAAAATTACCCATAAGAATAATGCGGTTGTGTAAACGTTGTGTAAACGTTACTAACTTCAATTTTGTTTTATGTTTTCCATTTCCACTATTCTTCTATCCACAACCCTCATTATTTTGTAATGTTTGTAATCCAACCGAATGCGGTTTTTTTTGTTTTAACATTTACCTAATACAAAATAATTAATTTTTATTAAATTTTATTTTGTTCTCTCTGTATTTTGGATTTGATTTGTTTTGTAGCTAGTCACTTATTTTTAACGTAGAAATAATGTCTCAAATTGAAACGTCTGCCGAGGGTAATGCCGTAAGTTCTTCACACATTCATAATTTTAAATCAAATAATTTTAAATTTTGTTTATGTATAAACTCCAACACTAGGTATTCATTATAATTAAAATAAATAAATCGTTTTAATGTTATCATCATCTACAGTTTTTACACCTTCAGAAATGTTGAAGTAAAACAAATTATGTTAAATGTAAATGTAAAATGCAATTATATTCATTATGGTTCAATTAAAAATGCCCGAATAAATCACATGTGCGTTACAGCTCATAATTTTAAACTGCTATTTATACAATAATAATTACCATCAATTTTAATTTAAAATTGATGTTCTCAATGTAATCTATGAAATAAATGCTGATTGTTAAGAAAAATATCTGAGTTTATATGTTAATGTTTCACCTACCTAATGTTAATGTTAATGTTAATGTTATAAATGATAATGTCTTTAGACAGGGTTACTGTCCAACTTTTGGGGAAAGAAATACTTAAATTATTTTTGAACTGTGTTGAACATACCCCAAATATACTTATATTATTTTACGTTTATTTACCTCAATTTCTTTTTATTAGATGCATAATTATGTTAGATTGGTTAAATTAGTAAGTAGAAGTCACTGGTAAATTTGTTGTCGATAAAATATGCCTTAAATTTATAGTTACACAATTTATAAATATGTGATTGATTAGTGACTTGCTATGGTAACACTAAAAATAATGAAAATGGGACTTGAAAAAATATGAAACATTTTTGATAGCATTTAATAGTTACGTACCTAAAATTTTAATTATATTTAGAAGTATATTATGTCATAATTTTTTTAGCAACTTAAATTTTTATTTAAATATCATGCATTAATTTAAGTAAATTTTAAGGAAAATTAGGTACTTTCGGTTATTAAAACTTCTAAAATTGTATTCAAGTAGTTATTTATGTGGCCTACTCGCAACACCATGATTGCTCTGATTGGTAGTAGCAAACATTCTCAATGTTTATTTTTTTATATAATTTTATTCCTAAATGTTTTTTGTTCTTTTACTTAGCCTATCTCCAAGTACGTAAAGGTTTGATCAGTTGCAGCTGTTCTATTTTTAATGACATAAGTACATTGAGTGTTTTTTCTATATTAATATTATTTGCTCATCCTCACGTCCCTGTTCATTTAATTTATTGCCAATTTTTAACCTATTTTTCAAATTTTTTCATAGGATACTAAAATCGATCCTATGGAAGTAATAATGGATAATAATGTTGTTGATGATGTTGCTGAAACTTCTTCTGCGTTAGCTGTACCAAATGGATTAAAAAATAGATCTGTAAATGTAAGTGATATGACTTCAATGGACTATTATTTTGATTCATATGCTCATTTTGGCATACATGAAGAGATGCTTAAGGACGAAGTACGAACTCTCACATATAGAAATTCTATGTATTACAATAAACATTTACTTAAGGTAATTCTTATTTTGTATCAAGTATTGTTTTTTAAAATAATTTATATTCTTTAACAAAAAAAATCAAAATTAATTATTTGCAGGGTAAAATTGTATTAGATATTGGTTGCGGTACTGGAATTTTATCAATGTTTGCTGCTAAAGCTGGTGCAGCCAGAGTAATAGGTGTAGAGTGTTCCAACATAGTAGAATATGCTAAACAAATTGTAGCAGATAATCATTTAGACCATATTGTAACAATAATCAAAGGAAAAGTGAGAAATATAAATAGTATTTATTTAGATATGTATTAACATTAATATATTTGTTCAGGTTGAAGAAATAGATTTACCTGATGGTATTACCAAGGTAGATATTATTATATCAGAATGGATGGGCTATTGTTTATTTTACGAGTCTATGTTGGATACAGTACTTTATGCAAGAGACAAGTGGTTAAAAGATGGTAAGATAAATTTATTATACTTCAAAAATATAAACTAAGTCCAATAAATGTTAATTGAGGAATTTATAATGAAAAATATTCAATTAATTATTCGTACTATACAGTTTTTCTACTTTTATTTTATTAATTAATGTATTGTTAATAGTTATACAATTTAAATTATCTATTTTTAGATAAGTATATATGTATATTATTTATTAATCCTAACTTTAAAAAAAAAATTGTTTCTTGTTTCCCATTCTAATATTTTGTTCTATTTTAGATGGAATGTTGTTTCCTGATCGTGCAAATTTATTCATAACTGGTATTGAAGATAGACAATACAAAGATGACAAAATTAACTGGTGGGAAAATGTATATGGATTTAATATGAGTGCCATACGTAATGTTGCTATAAGTGAACCATTAGTAGACTGTGTAGAACCTAAGCAGGTAAAACTAATATATCACCAATTAATGTAGAGTATTAATTAAATCTCATGTCATTAGGTTGTTACAAATTCAAGTTTATTAAAAGAAGTAGATTTGTATACAGTAAAAAAAGAAGACTTAACGTTTACTGCTCCGTTTAATCTTCAAGTCCGTCGTCAAGATTATGTGCATGCATTGGTTACTTATTTTACTGTAGAGTTTACCAAATGTCATAAACGTATTGGCTTTTCGACAGCTCCAGAATCACCGTATACACATTGGAAGCAAACAGTGTTCTACCTGGATAACTATTTAACTGTGAAAAGAAATGACGAGGTGTTTGGCACTTTTTCAATGTCTCCTAATGAACGCAATACTCGAGATATGGACTTTGTTATTGACATCGAATTTAAAAATGATGTTAACGATGTTGTCGAATCTAATAAATACCGTATGCGTTAATAGCAATAAGATATCTTATTTTTTATTACAATAATTTTTTTATACATAGTACTTTTAACTTTTAAGATAAAAATATTTACAATGCCGATTATGGTTAATTGAAGAACAAAAATAGCATTCATTGAGACGTAATTTTAATTATGATATTCTCTTTCTAATATATTTTTTTATTCATTCTAACTCCATTTTCCAAAATCAACTATGTTTATATTTGATATTAATTAGATGCTCACTTACAGTAACTAAGTGATATCTTATAATTTGTATGTTATTCAAATATTTACTTAGAAAAAAACATTTAATACTCGATGTATATAGGTAACTTACGAACTTAATAATAGTGATTATATTTGGATTCACCTATGTTTGTTGTTCCTAATTAAAAAATTTTAGTCTTGCTTTTATAAAAAAAAATATCTGGTAATAAACTTAATGTATTTTTTTTTTCTATAATTATTTACATTTCCTCTTTATAATTAACTGAGAAATATAATTAAATATTACCAAAGTTAGACAGCTAAATTTTTTTTTGGATTTCAAAATAACTACTGAAATCGAATTAATCGTTTTAACATACTTTAGACTTAATAATAACTTTACTGGTTAGCCTGGGCATGACCAGAATTGGTAATATATATCGGTGTGTATACTGTGTAGGCTAAATTGACGAGGTATACAATACAAAAACACTTAAGTCTTCTCTCTAAAAGACAAATTTTGTATTTTTTATATGTTTGATCATTATAATTGAAAATTTGTTTTCCTAAAAATCCATTTACTGATATTATTTTTATTCACCCTTTTAAAAGCACAGTGTTATAAGTTATAACATGGAAATTATCTGAACTAAATTCTAATATAATTTTAATGCTGTTTTTGAAAACCATTTTATGTATAATAAGTGTAATGTGTCTTGTCATTTAGTACGTAATGGACAGTGGCGTATATACGAATTATTTTCACTATGGGCCGATTTATCAATTATCACTAGTCAAGCAGCATAGCCATAATTATACATTTTTAAGGGAGCAGCTGTTATATAATTAAGAATTATGACGTATTATACAGTTCAAATAAAAATTGCGCAATTCAATTTTATAATTATTATGTAAAATTAATTTTTTGTTTCTTTTTTTAAAAATATTGACAGTGTCGTTTGTATATTTTAATGTTATCTTACTATGAATTTAACATCAAAGTCAATAAGTCATTAAAGCAAGTCCCGTCAATATATCTAACATTTCCTTGTAGATTACTCAAAAATGATTTTAATCAACCGGCTAACTTAATCATGGTGAAAAACTGTTAACAGTGTAAATATACATGCAATGCTTTAATTGAACCTGCAATTTCACTATGGGCTCTGGCCTAGGGGGCCTCCCCCCTATATACGCCACTGGTAATGGATATGATAAATCATTGTATACCATGGTAAACAATTCTGAGTAGAAGCAGTGTGTAATATTGTATATTACTTGGTGATAATATGTATGTTGGGTTGATCTAACTTTTCCAAAAACAATATTAATATGAGTATAGTATACCAATATACTGCCTATATAATACTTTATATTTCTAATAATATTACTGCAGCTATTATCAACTTACACATAAATTCTGTAGAATGATTAGGTTTGTGTAAAAATGCCTTGGAATTAATATAAATATTTTCAAAATTCAGTGGGTTAAATAAATAAAAATATACCTAAATAAAGGCATACATTTTTTGTATAATTATTAAAATTTTAACTTCTAATCCTAATAATGACTTACCTACTCACATAGCATTAATTTTTATTGTCAATGATACAAATGTTATGTAAAGTTTTATCACGATACATTTACATGAAGATTCAATTACTATAATAAATATTAATATTTACCTGAAGTACAATAAATAACTGTCCGATTATCCCGCATTGTAGGATAAGTTTCAGATCATTTTTAAAAAAAATCTATAAGTGTGATACAATGTCTACTAGCCGTCAAGAAAGTTTATAATTATTATATTAACAGAACAATATTTTTCTATGGTACTAGATTTAATTGATAGTACCTTTTTCGTTAGTGTACCTATCGTGTACCTTTTAATATTTCTGATATGTTCAACAAACCCTAAGATAGTAAGAGATGCTTTTGAAAGTTGTATCACCTTTGTAATTTAGACTACACAGATAGTGAATTATTTGTAAACTAATTAGTAGTTATTTTAACTTATTTATTTACTATACCTACAACTTACTTGTTAATTGACATATTTACCTATATTAAAATTGTTAAATTTTGTATATGGAATGAGGATTATGGCCGGTGAGAAAAAAAAACTTCAAATTTTAAATAGGTTATGCCAAGTTTCAAAATTTGTGGTAACCAGTACTGCCCGACACACATATAGACTGTTGGATATTTGATGACAAAAAATAATTATATTTTCGATGTTAGAGGCATAGTGGAAAACAAGCTCCTTTGACATGCAAGATTATAAAACTAATGGTGAAGGGGGAAACTTAAGCTTAACACACCTGTCAATAAGTGATAAAAATTTATTTCTATTGATTTTAAAACAAGCTCTAATGATAATACATATAATGTAGAATTAATATAATAATGGTATTACTGTATTAGATACCTACCTATATGATATTAATAATTTTATAGTATAAGATTAATTTTAAACGCGTTCATTAAAAGGGTGCTGAGTACTCTAAATATACCATATACGTCTCTGAGCTGCGGGAATTTACATGAAAACCTTTAGCGTGACGTAAAATTGCGCACATGCACTGCATACTACTGAGTAATCCATCTCGAACGGGTTAAATGTTTTCGCTGTTCAGAGTATTATAAATCATAATAATAATATAGCGTATGGTCACGTATAGGGTATAGCACAGTTGCGCGGTACCCCCGGGCCACAATCGTTGCTATGACTTCGTCGCTGTTGTCCGCGCGAGCGATGGTCCGCCGCGCGTGGTGCTGACTGCTGACTATATGACCGCCGGCGTCAAACGGTGAATGGCTGCGGCAGGCGAGGCGTGGGGTCACACGAATGGTACGTGGGTCGCGGCCAGTCAGCCGGTTACTTGCTGCGACTGTGCTATAATGATAACTCGTAGAACATGTTATATATATACATATATGTATGTAGTATGTATAGGCATATACCCTATTATACACAGACACGTTATATGTATATACGTGTAATACGTAACTGATGGTATTGCTGCAGATGAGAAGTTACGGAACGAGTTTTGCCGGTGAATAATATTTTTATGGTTTTTTTATTGTAGGTACCTATGAATCGTATAACGTAGAGAGGGACGTCGCCTCGCACGCGTTGTTCCGACGACGCGCTGCTGCTGTTGCTGTTGAGGCTCCACCTGGATTTCTCTGGATTATCTGATTTCCGAATATATTCCGACCATATACATTATACGCAATATTTTTATTTATATCAGTAGCTATACATATACTGCTATACCTCACTCGCATCACATAATTTACAGACGATATTATCGTTATTATATAACTAGTAACTACGTTGTATATTATATTGTATTTGTTATCAAACCCAAACGGTTTCCGTTTTGTGTACAAGGCATTTGTAGTATTATACAAGACTTTTTTTTCCGGGAGAGGGATGATGATAAAATTATAGTTTAGTGTGATAGTACTATTATAGTAGGTCAATTCATTTCATCATTAAAGCTTAGGTATATACTACAACTACACATTATTAAATCGGAACTGTTGAGTACAAAATATGTGTTATGTACCTAGTGGCTAGTACGTTCTATGCCAGAGATGGCAAACCTTTTGAACACCGCGTGCCCAAAATTAGTAATAACATTTATTTATTTTTAGAGCGTGCCATGAAAAAAATATTAAAAATATTATATTTTGTTATACTATAATTTGATTGTATAATTAATGTATTAGTATGAAAAGGTTAGTTTAGGTTATTATAGGTCCTATAATATTGTCGCGGAAGCATGGCGAAAGCAGTCCCCGCGGCGTCGTCTGTGAAAAACCGAAAAAAAAAAAGGTCCTATAATATTATATAATATATAATAGTAAACATTTTCGCGTGCCCACAAAATCTTTTCGCGTGCCACCTCGGGCACGCGTGCCATGGATTTGCCATCCCTGTTCTATGCACTAGTGTACTACGTTTATAAAACGGACACATGTGACAATATATGTGAGTGTCGGGATGTGGTGTCCTCTTAATGATCTTGTGTATTTCTTTAGAAAATTAAGTATTTAAATATATTAAGGAAATAGACTTACCTACGTTTAGTTGGCCTCCCTCTTGTCTCTTAGTCGTATCGACTCAAAATATTTATCAATAATTTGCGAGTTTTATAGAATTTGTATTTGGTAGTCAACGCTTAGTCCAGAATAGGTCTGGCAGCCACTTGCAAACACGCTAAGTGATAATTACTATATTAATAGATTGTTCTATAGCCATGATTATATGATTGTTACTGAATACTCAATATAGTATAAGCCTGTAGGGTGATCACGATCATTATTACCAGATAATGATTATAATATGGTACTCGTCATTTTAATTTCTGATAATTGAATTTCACAGGGTACATTATATCAGCTAGTGTCTAGACTGCAGGGGCACTAGACAAATATATATGTATTTACTATTTTACTACTTACATTTTAATTCATAATGTATATAGATTATATTTTATTAAAAAAGTTGAACATCCCCGCCCTAATCCTCATTCAAAATTCCTGAGCACACCTCTGGTCTACAGTGTAAGCTTTGAGGTTTGAGAAGAAGCAAATGAAAACTTCGTCCTGGAGTATATTTATGTACAATCCACCTTAAGCAACGGTTCTCAACCTGGGGGAAGGTGTTTCAAAATTTCAGAGAAGTTATAAAAATGTTTCATCATGATTCATGACGTCTATTTATATCCTATACTAAAAATACTTCAATCTTAATTCTTAAAATGGTGAAGTAGGAGTAGTAGGACACCTCCCCATATATTATGCCTCTTTAATAATATGAAAGGGTCAAAGAGCCAAGGGGGCATTGGACAAGGACCTCAAAATGCTGAGGACCCTTGGCTTATCACGTGTAATTTTACGATTTACAATGATATGTTTTTTTTTGCGTCTGTCATCATCTTTTGGAGCAGTTAAAATGATTCGATTTTCTACTTCATCATTTTTTTAGTAGGAAAGTGAATCTAATTGTTGGGCTGGTCAAAAGTAAAAAATTCCCAATAGTTTTCCAAAGCATCGGGGGAGGGGGGAATGAATTATTTCTATATGCATTTTAAAGTTTAAATTTTAACAAAGTTCATCAAAATCCCGAAAATTGGCAAATTATTTTATAGATAGAATCACAGAAATCCATACATTTTTTTCTTTTCATAGCTATAATGAGAAATGTTAATAGAAG